CAAAGATGGTTTTCTCATCTCTTCCAGTGAATCAGTTTGATTCACAAAACTGGCAGCAGGTAATCAGTTTATGATATTAGCTTGATGTTCTTGATTCATTCCTTTTTGCTCCAAGTTCGATCAAGATTTATGAAAGGTGATGAGATTTTGTTCGACAAAATTCCTAGCTACTGTGGTCGCACGTATGTACTTACAAATATTCTTTAGTTAGTTGATAAAAACCCTCTTTTTTTCTTGTCTTCTCGAATATACCTGAAAATATATATAAAGATGATGATTATAATTTTGGTCTCTTTTATTTCTATTTCAAGACTTTCTGTTTGGTTTTGTTAAGTTATCTATATTGTTTTCCTTGTATGATGAATTTCTCTTTGTTTAGCTTTTTACACCGCCATCGAATTAAACTTCAAAAAAAAACTTAAAGTTACTATGACTGTAATCTGAGTTATTTATCCATTTTCTTTCTGCAGCTTTGTTGAAAAACTATAATAAATCTGCAATTCTTGTCAAAGTAGACTCAATTTTTATCTATTTTCTTTTGTATCCGACCAATGTTTCAAACTCGAATCCTTTCGTTAAAAGTTGTTTCTGCTTTATTATTATCCTGAAAACTAAGTACCAATTATACGTTAATATGCAGCAAGGGAACCAACATCAGCTAGACTGTGTCCCAACTGATCAGAACCCTAATAATTATTTACGGCAGCTCTCATCACCACCGGCTTCTCAGGCTGGCTCGAGCCAAGCTACAGTGAATTCAATGGTGGAACGTGCTCGGATCGCGAAAGTCCCATTGCCTGAAGCAGCTCTAAATTGCCCTAGATGTGACTCAACCAATACAAAGTTCTGTTACTTCAATAACTATAGTCTTACTCAACCTCGCCACTTCTGCAAAACATGTCGCCGCTATTGGACACGTGGCGGTGCCCTGAGGAATGTTCCTGTTGGAGGAGGCTTTAGGAGGAACAAGAGAAGCAAATCCAGATCGAAATCTACGGTCGTGGTCTCGACTGATAACAATACTACTACTTCACCACTTACTTCTCGCCCAAGTTACTCAAACCCTAGCAAGTTTCTTAGCTACGGTCAAGTCCCGGGGTTTTCTTCAAACTTACCCATCTTGCCTCCTCTCCAAAGCCTTGGAGATTACAATTCAAGCAATACTGGATTAGATTTTGGCGGAATTCAAATAGGCAACGTGATAAGTGGTATGAGTTCCAGTGGTGGGATCTTGGATCCATGGAGAATACCTTCATCACAACAAGCTCAGCAATTCCCTTTCTTGATCAACACTACGGGATTGGTGCAATCTTCAAATGCGTTATATCCATTACTAGAAGGTAATGGAGGTGTTAATCAAGGTGATTCTCAACAAAAGAGTAGTGATTATTCCAATCAGCTAATGTCTAAGCCCTTGATGGATTTGGCTTCAGGCGGGGATGGCGCCGCGCAAGCGAGAAATGTGAAGGCGGAAGAGAATGATCAGGATCGGGGTAGGGATGGGGACGGAGGGAATAACTTATCAAGAAACTTTTTGGGTAATATCAACATAAACTCAGCCAGGAACGATGAATACACATCATGGGGAGGTAATAGTTCTTGGACCGGTTTCAGCTCCAACAACTCAACAGGCCATCTCTCATTCTAAGTACTCAGCACTAGCTATTCTTGATGATTCTTTTGTTGGGTTGTACATTGATCGCTTTTCATGTGTGTTATTACTGAGGAGAGATCAAACCATGCAGCTATATCCAAAGGCTAATTTTGGGGCTCAAAGGAAAGGTATGGTTATAAAACTATCTTTTTTTATCTTTTAGAAGATCTTCAAATTAAGTGTGAGTATGTTAATTGGTTGGCTTCTGGTGATATTTATGTTTTATCAGAATTGGTGTTATTGGCTATATATATAGAGGTGTGGGTGATGTATGAATTCAAGAGTTGATGATGGAAACTTTTTTGTGTGTTCATTGAATAATCATCGAATTCTCAATTTCTTGGACCCACTATGAGACATCTATAGACCATGTAATGTATATTAAACGTAATTAAGTCCAATTTTATGACCAAAGTAAATAAATTATGCCGAATGTACATGCTAAGAGTTCAAACTATTTTTCCAATATAACATCTATATATTTTCCTTTGGTCCAACTTCTACTCTGGTTCTTTTTTTCTTTCTCTTTATCTTCTTTTCCTTTTTCCATTCCAAATACACGGAAAAAATAAAAGAAAATGAAACGAAAAAAAGAGATTTTAAATTTTCATAACCCACGAGAAACTTACTTTGTTATCATTATTCATGGAACGGATCCAGTGTATTAATATATGACTCGATTGTTTAAAAAGAAAATGTTTTTATTTGCATTTATTTATTCAGAAAATAAAAAGACTTAATCTTAACAGTATTTCTATTTCTTCATAAAATATTTTTGCAAGTATATATCATACAAAGAATTCTTATTCAGTTTTTCTGAAGGCCTTTGGCTTTGCCTTATGATATACCTAGATACAACAAAATTTTGATTATTATAAACGAAAGTTGTAGGTTCTTTGAAAGAAAACATGCTTTTATAACATATAATCATCCGTAACGTAACAAGATAATAATATAACGTAAATTTCAACAACTCAAGCTCGACTAAGGATATATATAGCAGGACAAATTATTTATCTTCTGACCTAGGGCTCTTTGGTTCCTAGTAACAAGATATGAGTCATATGACAATAATTATACCGCTCGCTACTCTCTCGATCGATCGATATATGCTTCATTTCCACAACCCTTTTGAGACCAACTTTTTTTATATGAATGTATATGTGTGTGTGTTTTTAAAATAAAACTTGAGAATTATGTACCGAATATCAGAATAATCTCCAAATTTCAGAAAATTTATGTATTTTTTGTCCACTTAATGTGTTCATAATGGCCAACTATTATTGAAAATACAATGGAATGACTGAAACCATGCTTAATCTCTCAAGTCTCAACCCATGAAGAATCATTTAACCAATAGACTATATATCATCATGATTAGTTAATGCATGAATGTGTTATTTTGAACATAGAGATGTCATTTATCTGGAAATAAAGATGACCTTTTAACCTACTTTGCAAAATGTGTCTTATTTGTTGTCAAAAATATATATTTGTTCTTTTAGAGTCCATATCTTTCTTCTAAGTTCTAATACACATATGACCAATACACTTTTGTTTTCGAAACAAAGAACTTATTTCAAACATCACAACACATATGGTGAATCTACACCTAAATTGACTACAGTACGTAGTTAGATATATATACTTCAAATTTTAAACATAATAATGATGCATGTAAGTGGTACACTGGTACTATAATATTATATTGTGATGTGTGTAATTGTATATAATTCAGTTCCTAGTTTTTGGAACAAAGAAAAAGAAGACACTAAAACGAGCTAAAGAACAATGGAAAATTCAGTTATAAGGAATTCTGGGATTTTTTGTCGCAAGGGACAAAACTAACGTAAGACCAGGACGCTGATCTATGAGTCAAAAGCACGGACATATATAGGGTACATACTACATACATCCACATTCACACTTATGCATGCAACACATTCATGAAGGGAGAGAGAGATAGAGAAGCAATCATATATTTCATTTTCTTTGCTAGATTTCTAGCTCCATACTCCCTATTTTTATTTTAATAGAAAATTCATTAATCAATTATAAAAATGTTATTTGTAAAGATATACAAACGTTGAGGGTACGACCGTACGAGATCAATACACATTTTATGAAAAATAGAGAACTAAGTTTTTTTTATCAAAAGCTGAAAGAAAAAGAAGTTTTGATTGTTTTACAAACGGAGTTATAAGCGTTAAAAGTGAACCAAATTTTATTGTGAGTGCTAGCCTAATGAGTGGTGATATCCAAGGGATTGTGGAATCTGGACCTTTTGGATCTGCTTTTGCAAAAACCAATGCCCTCAAAATAAAGTGTTCATTTCCCAAATTCATATATATCACTCTCTTTATACTTTCCCATTAGCATTAGAGTTAAGTATTCAAAAGGCATATACTCATTCCAATTCCAATATATGCAAAGGCTAAGATAAAAACAAAGAGATAAACAGAAAAATAGCAAATGCGTCAAAAAGAAGAAAAGGAAAAGAGAAGCATATGTTTAAGTTCCATACATATCAATGCAAATTAGGCCCAAAGGACATCTTTTTAGTGTAACCTTTTTTTTCTTCCTCTTTCTGTTTTTGAATGTACGTTTTCATACTACGGTCTAACCGAGAATAGTCGCTCACCCTCAAACCATAACCTCACTATCTTCTTCTTTTTCACATAATAATCATGTACTCCAATTACTAAATCAACTTTCTTCTGATTCACTTTTGATTATTTTCCTAAAACCAAGTGCGATCGGTTTTAGACCAAAATAGAAGCATTTAGAGAGAAATATCTGGCCAGGTAAAGAAAGCGTAGTGAGAAATTCCTTGGGTTGTTATTGAGGCCGAGTTTTTGAGTCATTTTTAACAGTCTTTTCCATACAGCGAGGTAGCTAGAGACTTTGGTCTCTTTTGGTGAAAGTTGGCAAAAAAAAATCTAAATTTTCTTGGAAATTAGGCCGAGAGCTTTGTTTTGGGCTTGTTATCCATATGATCTCTAGTGTTCATGGGCTCCTCCTTTCAAGATTTGGCAAGTCCGGTCTTTCCACTCTTGTGGTTGGATCTCTTCTAGATACTTCTTTGGTCATGATAATACATACCTAATCGGTTTTGATCTTTTGGTGGATATTGTTCTGGTCCGGTCTTCGGCTTCTAAAGTTATTAGTATTATTTAAAGCAAAAGATAAATTTAACCAAACCGAAAATAAAATTATACATTGGAGATTTTCCTCTATTGTTTTTTGTTAATAAATATTTCCATTGACAAGATCTTCCCTTTTCATGAACAAACATATTCCATTTTAGCTTAAAATCACAAAAAAAAAAAAGAGAAATTTCTCAAAAGAAATAAAAGTAGACACCGCCCTTTTTATAAACAACCCTAAAAGTGGTAAAAAAGGTTTGTTTAATTAATATATCTACAAAAATCCTTTAGGCTTCCTCATCTTCTTCTTCCCCCGAATCTAGTTCTCGTTCTCTCAAGCGAGCCTGTGACGATGGCTAATAATCAAGCAAGCCTTCTTCTGCAGAAACAGCTTAAAGGTTTCTCTTTTTTTCTCTTTCTTGTTCTAGGGTTTTTGTTTTCGATCTGATTTTGGTCTCGATTGGTTTGATTTCGTTTCTGGGTTTAGCTAATTTTGTTGGGTTCTTTTCAGATCTGTGTAAGAAACCTGTTGATGGTTTCTCGGCTGGGCTCGTTGATGAGAAGAACGTTTTCCAATGGAGCGTCTCTATTATGGGTCCTCCTGATACTTTGTAGTGAGTTTTTTTCTCTAATCTCTCTCTCATGTTTCTGTTTGAAATTGTCTTGCTTTTGGGAATTAGCCCTATTCTTCCTCTGTTTTGAAATCCGTATGTTTCGAATTGTGCATTGATTGGTTGTTTGTTTAAGATCAAATTGTAGTTTGATGACTGACGTCTATCTTTGTTTTGGCATTGGCTAAAGCTTAATTCATTTGATTAGTTCTGTTGTGCTAATTTGCTCCACTTATGTTGTTCTGTGTGATAGAGGATAACATTGATGACTTGTTTTCCTCGTCTGTTCTTATAGATGTTTTCATAGTTATGAATTGTTATGGTACCAAATTCACATGGCATTGAAACTTTTATCTCTCTGATTGCAGTGAAGGTGGTTTTTTTAATGCAATTATGTCGTTTCCGGATAATTATCCAGTTGAACCACCAACTGTGACGTTCACCTCGGAGATGTGGCATCCTAATGGTGGGTGATTATTCTGGAAATAACTCTCTCTCTCTCTCTCTCTCTCTCTGGAGCTTTTAGATTTAGTATTCTGATGATTTATACTCTTTTTGACTGCAGTTTATTCTGATGGAAAAGTTTGCATTTCTATTCTTCATCCTCCTGGTGATGATCCTCATGGATACGAGCTTGCCTCAGAACGTTGGACCCCTGTCCATACGGTATGTTTTTCTATTCATCTTTTTCTTTTACCGTTTAGCTTCAGTACTCTGGTAACTTGTTTGCAGGGTTGAGTTATCTATGGCTTTGAATTTCTTGGGGTCTGCTTTAACATTCTTCGAATACAGCTAGCTTTCTCTTGTGTAGATAGGTTGTAGAAAGTGAAATGTTTTGTTCGATATTGAGCTTATACACGGTTGGCTTTTCAAGTGTTCGTGGAATTTATAAGTCAGGACTTAAATTTTATTCGCCACTAGTGGCAACGAAGTTTTTGGTAATTTTAGAGGGGGAAGGCTTGCAGACCAGAGTTAGCAGCATGAACAAAGATGGATTTGTGAATGAGAAATAGAAGTTTCCGATATTCATAGGAATCAATGGGACTATTGCTAGTGCTAAGGAGCAACCCTTCGATCAAGAGATACCTTAAATAAAATCAACTAAGTAGCTGACCTCTTAGACGAATACTCTGGAGGATAGTGCAACTTAGATTGACCCTCTTTCGTAAGGGTGCTTGAGTGGAATATGAATTACTTTCTGATTTATCTGCCCTGTACCTCGTAATCGATGGTGTTCTTATTAGATCATGAGAGAGAAGAAAACAGAGATACTTTGAAGCTAATGTTGGGTCTGTGTATGATATGCAGGTAGAAAGCATTGTGTTGAGTATCATATCGATGCTCTCAGGTCCCAACGACGAGTCACCAGCGAATGTGGAAGCTGCAAAGGAATGGAGAGACAACAGAGCAGAGTTTAGGAAGAAAGTGAGTCGCTGTGTCAGAAGATCGCAAGAGATGCTATGAACATCTCTCCTGCGTTTTTTTTTTGTGTGTTGTAGAAATATCGATTCTAATCTTATGAGAAAGCGTAAGCAGAACAATCTTCAAGCAGCAGCCAGATGAATCTGACTTTCAAAAGCTTCTCTGTTTTTTTTTGTTTTTGGGTCGTCTTTAAGGTTTGGAATATTGGGGTGGAATCAAATCCATTCCATATTTTAGGATTATATTATTGCACTCGTTAATGGATTCGTTTGATCTGGCTTTTTAACTTTATTCTGGTTTTGGGTTACAAAATACTTGGGGTAATTAGGTTTAACTGCAAAAGTTCAGAAATTAAAATTCGAAAAGAGTAGTTCAATGTTGTTAATCAGTTGGCATCCTTATATTTTCTAGATTTTTGTTTGAAATCACCACATACAGTGATAAATTCATCATATAAAATGGTTAACCGAATTTAACCAAAATCGATTACAATTTTTCATGTTAGGGTTTAGTTCTCAAGAAAAGTAGCTGTTAACGACAATTTCCTTGTTGTTTTGTTTCAAAACTGAGTGTTCAGGTTCAACCAAAATTTGTAGCCGAACGGTCATAAGAAACAAAACCCTAACTCGAACCACTTGATGTCCTTGAAGATTGCGGGTCTAGCACACATAAAATAAGGCAAGAGCAACGATATAATTTAATAATTACGGTTATTTTCTCTCATCAATTATAGCCCAAATACTTTGCAATTAACTATCATATTCATATGCTAGGTTTCTTTCTTACTCATCATTGCTCCACTCCATCTTCCCGAAACAATTGTATATATTTATTTTTTCTTCGAAATTTATCACTTTTAGTTAGATCCGCAAGGCCCAATAATCGAGACAACAACACTCTACGACATATTCTCCGGCGCCGGTGTAGCTTTTGCTCGCCGGCGTCGGGATATCTTTTGCTTCTCTCAATTTTTCTGCAACTTTTCTCGATCCCTTTATAATCATTTTCAATCCCTTTGCAACTTTTCACTCTGTCCAGTACTGCTCTGCAAAATCAAACCTAGAAACTCTCCGGCGAATCCTCTACACTTCGTCCAGTCCAGCCCTTGGGCAGCAAAATTGATGAAAAAGGACTCTTATATGTCTTCTTGCTCTTCAACTGACGAATCTGAGATCTGTCGCCCAAAGTTCTCTGGATCTATGGATTTTAAAACCCTCGCCATCCTCGTCGCTCATTGTCTCTACCAGTTTCCCTTGAAGTCAAATCTGCAACCTTCTTGTCTCTCTACGAAATGGAGCTCTGCCATGACGTCGGATCCGGTGATGACATTGACGGCGGAAGGATTAGACCTAGCACAATCGCTCCCTTTTCCCAGCATGAGTCCGTACAGCGACGGCGACCTTCTCTTCATCTGCACAACTGAGACAAAGCTAGGGTTTTGCTTGTTGGGCTCCATTATTTGTCGCGGCCCAGTAGAGATGTCTTGGCCCATATGGAAACAACCCGGTCCAGCCCACTTAGCACCAAAAATCAGGAACTCAAATCTATCTCCCTCTAGTCAATCTCGGTGTAGTTTTATGAAACCATCTGTTCGAAGACTGCATTTGGATAATAAACTGTCGTTGTTGCTAGTATGGTTAAAGATTTTTTTAGACAACCTGTTATTAGAATCATCTAGGACTCTTGCCTTTGAAGCTAGCAACTCGGCATTATGATCCAGTCCATACGGAACTGTGGTTACCGATGTGTCTTCATGCTCCCTTCATCAACTCGACTGATTCATGAGCCCGTTAAACTGCCTCTCATCAACTTGTTGAAGTTCCCACTTAAGAACCTGAAGACTAGTGGCATTATGATCCCCATTCAATGTAGTGGGGGTTACCACAACATTTTCAAGAGTTTCTCACCTGAGCCTAAGACCGCAACCAACCCTATAACCATCTTCAGACAGAGCATTCTTAACCCTGTTCAAACCCTTGGCAAAGCTCTCCTTCGGGTAGACATCCTCATCCCGGTGAGGTTCCCAGCTTTAGTTTTCTCAACGCTGCTTAGTCTTCGATCCAAGACAGTGGCCATCTTTTCATCCATCGAAGTATTCATGGAAGAAGCATCGTTATTTCTTGACCTCACAGGTTCCAAAACCCTTGCAAGGAGTTGGTTCATAGCTCTCAAGTCCACAATTTCGATGACCCTTATCTATTTTTATCTCTTTGTTGTATTGGCTTGGGGGATTGCCTTACCTTGCTGTTCTTTAAACTTTGATCTTTATGTTGTATGTTGTGTTCTATTTTAATGGAATGAAGCATATATTTGTCCAAAAAAAAAAAAAGTTAGATCCACAAAATCGTGGATCTCCAAAGCTAAAGCGAAATATATAGTTTATTATACTACAAGTAAACAAAAACAATAAAGAACCAAATATATGAACATATTAGTGTTAAAATTTTGTTTTGGTTTTTGTTAATCGTTATTCTCGTGAAAAGGAGTGTGGGAGGAGGAATAGCTCGAACGTCATTTTCACACTTTCTTTAACGACTCCAGCATTAATTACCCAAACAGTTCTGTTACAAAAATTTAAAGAGAGACCAAAAAAAGTTTCGAGTTATTGTCTTTTGTGTACCTAATCAATTTTTAAAATATACAAATATTGCTTTCTTAATGATATGTCAGAAAGAAATGTCCCGTGTAAGTAATATGAAAACCGGTTTTCAAATCTTTCATTTCAAAATGCACTTTTTCTAGCTCACCTGTGTTTGGTCGAATCCCTCCACTGACTACTACGTAAAAAATACCTTTTTTTTTTTTTTTTTTCAATTACTTTAGAGAATCTCAGACCTATGGAGGGGTCCAGACTAATCCCCTGGTTGAGGTGCAGCCAACAGATAGACTCTTTCTCCGAGTATGCAAATAGGCCGAAAGCAAGGATCCATATCTATGTGGCCAAGTGGAGATCTAACAATTGCGCGCTTGCGAAAAAAAAAAAAAAAAAAAAAAAACCTCATTTGCATTAATGTTTCGACCGTTTCATCGTTTATTATATAACTCTTTTAAATTAAATATCAAAAGAACATTAAATTGATTTGTCATTTTGAAACTTATGTTGACAAAATATTTTTATGTATATTCATATGAATTTACCATCAAATTAAAAATCGTAATCACACCTGCAACGAATTGCCATTCGTGGCTTAAATTCAACAAAGATAAATCAATTACAGAATCTTATGTTTTTTTTTCTCCCACATCACGGGATGACCATTAGTAAGTTGGTAACCAACCAAACCACGAGCTAATCCAGAAAGCGACATTAAACCAGAGTCCGGTTATCAAACTATCTCTCTCTCTCTCTCTCGCTCTTACCATTCTCTTTTCGCATCACACTTTCCCTCTCATTCTTCTTTCTTATCTCTCTCTCTCTCACTCTCCTTCATGCCTCGTGACTGCAACCAAAGCAATTTAAAACCGCCGCACTTCTCATGAGTCTTCTTCTTCTTCTTCAGCATCATCGTCGCTAACTGTAATTATCTTCTCCGATCTTCGTCTCCGCCATGCGCTCGCCGCATGCTTTCCGTAACGGCGAATCTCCGAGTTCGCGAGACCATACTCACTTCCACTCAACCGTCGTAGCTCAGAAACTCCGTCGATTCAACTCTTTAATCCTCCTCCTCCGTCTCGCTTCTTTCTCTTTCTCTCTCGCTTCCGCCGTCTTTATGCTCACCAATTCCCGCGGCTCCGGTTCTCCTCACTGGTACGATTTCGACGCTTTCAGGTTCGACTCTCTCTCAATCTTTTCCTCAATTTCGAAAAATCATGAAGCGAATCTTGAATTTTTAAAAAAATTGAGATCAAATTCGGATTTTTTGGGTTGCAGATTCGTGTTTGTGGCAAACGCGATCGTGGCGTTATATTCGGTGTTTGAAATGGGAACTTGCGTTTGGGAATTTTCAAGAGAAACCACCTTATGGCCTGAAGCTTTTCAGGTCTGGTTCGATTTTGGTCATGACCAGGTAACTATTTTTAAAGCTTAAAAATTGCATAAGCACAACACATAGACTAGTCATTAAAGTAAACATGTTTCAATGATTGCTTCCAATTTCCTAATTATTTTATTGTTTAAGTTGATCATTAGTTTAATCCCTAATTAAATAATTAACCACACCTGTGTGTAACTAATAACAAAGTTGAAAATTTTGGTATGGGGGCAGGTGTTCTCGTACCTATTGCTATCGGCAGGATCGGCTGCAGCAGCATTGGCTAGAACGATGAGAGGAGGTGACACGTGTACGGCTAACAAAGCCTTTTGCTTGCAGTCAGATGTAGCCATTGGCTTAGGCTTTGCTGCTTTTCTCTTCTTAGCTTTCTCTTCTTGCTTCTCTGGTTTTCGTGTCGCTTGTTTCCTTATTACCGGCTCTCGTTTTCACCTTTACTCATGATGATTCTTATAAGTTGTTTTATGGACTTGATGACTGACGTGTTAAAAAAAAATTACCACAAAGAAGATAAATTTTACTATAGTCATAACTATGAAGAGCTTCTCAAGTTCATAAAAAATTTACAGAATTTCATAGGATTGAAGAGACCAGAGAAATGCTGTGATCAGTTTATCAAGATTTTGTGGAGTTGGTTTAAGCTTCTGCTACCGTTGGAGTTTGCTCTACTACTTTCACCTTGACTTTTCCGGTTTTCTTACCAACCTTTGGCTTCTTCTCCTCTTCTTCTTTCTCTGGATTCAGCTCGATCCTTGCAAATACGGGACTCGCTTGCTCCATTACTTGTCCTCCCTTCAGCCCTCCCCATTTGGTGTCACTCTAAAGAAAGGAAAAGTGTCAAATTAAAGCGAGTTAAACGGTAACTATATCAGGTGAAGGAAATATTTTGTTACCCAGGTTATGCTATTGAATTGATCAACTGAATAGCCAAGCTGTGAATATATCCTCAAACTTAAGCAAGGTGCAATGGGGGATAACGCAACCGCTATAACCCTCATTACTTCCAGTATAATCACCAGATCCTGTAATTATTGGCAGAAAACAGTCACTAACTTGATATCCTCTAGTCATCAAATTGGTAACAAATCCTTTTGTTTTGTAAGAATAATGCCAATTAGGGAAACGAGATAAGACCTTGGCTGCCTCTTCTGCTGAGACACCACCTTGTTTGAACAGGAACCAAGGTGCTCGTTGATCCATGTAGGTATTTCCCGCATTTCCAATCTCTAACACAGCCTCACATGCCGATGATAGAGACAGATTTTCATAGTTTGTCTGAGCCTTTTCAACCTTTTAAGAGGGAATGGTACAGTTTGAGATGAA